CTAATGACTGTATATGCGGGCCAAATCTCACAGGTCCTACTTATCCGTACAGAGACCCTGATCCACATACATGTGGTACTGTATGCACCAATCACATCCCTTCCTTGGGGAAGTGGGGCATCCTCATCCCCTCTCTATACCAACATTCTCCCCTTTGTGCTCCTGCCAGGCAAGGGAAGGGCCACCGCCTTTCAGAGATCACTCTGACTGTATATGCGGGCCAAATCTCACAGGTCCTACTTATCCGTACAGAGACCCTGATCCACATACATGTGGTACTGTATGCACCAATCACATCCCTTCCTTGGGGAAGTGGGGCATCCTCATCCCCTCTCTATACCAACATTCTCCCCTTTGTGCTCCTGCCAGGCAAGGGAAGGGCCACCGCCTTTCAGAGATCACTCTGCATCTGAGAAGCTACAGAGTGGGTGGACTGGCACATCATGAATCCCTCTCCTCCCCAGTGGATCCCATAGGAATCAGGATGGAAAGAAAAGATAGTTTCCAACTGTGTTATCTTTCTAAAAGCTCTCCTCTATGTAGGCACTCCATTAAAGTAGTTCTCCAGGCAGAGGGATGGGTTGCATGGCTCCAGTAAAGCTCTAATGCCAAGAAACAGGAGTGTCAAAGACACTGAGACTCCACAGAAAAAGCTCTGGCCACCATTGGACCTTGAGGGACTTCCAGTTTTGCAGATTGACACTGCAGCCTGATATATATAGGGTGAAATGGATAGACTCTCTCTCCCCTCAACAGAATAAACTGGGATAATTCTGGGTATGTCTACACTACCACCCTAGTTCGAACTAGGGTGGTAATGTAGGCAACCGGAGTTGCAAATGAAGTCCGGGATTTGAATTTCCCGGGCTTCATTTGCATATTGCCGGGCGCCGCCATTTTTAAATGTCCGCTAGTTCGGACTCCGTGCCCCATGGAACGAGGAGTAACGGTAGTTCAGAATAGGAAGCCTAGTCCGAACTACCTAGTTCGTGCCACGTGTAGCCGCGGGGCACGGAGTCCGAACTAGTGGACATTTAAAAATGGCGGCGCCCAGCAACATGCAAATGAAGCCCGGGAAATTC